CTTTCAACTAATTGGATAAGGTCTACCCTATATTGGATAGGACAATCTGCTTTATTCAGGCTACCAATTTAAATGTTAATCTTACCTTCATCAAACACACCTTTACAGACATATCTAGAATAATATTTGACCAAATATCTGGGTAGCTGATGCCCACTCAAGTTGACAGAAAATTAACATTTACACTTTTATTTGTATGAATTCTGTTGAATTGTCTTAAAGTTCACTAATCTTTTCTTCATTAGTATCTAATATTAATTTTTTAAAAAAATATATTTTATTGATTTTTCTTAGAGAGGAAGGGAGAGGGATAGAGAATTAGAAACTTCGATGAGAGAGAAACATCGACCAGCTGCCTCTTGCACACCCCCTACTAGGGATGTGCCCACAACCAATGCACATGCCCTTGACTGGAATCGAACCTGGGACCTTTCAGTCCGCAGACCGATACTCTATCATAGAGCCAAACCAGTTTCGGCTCTAATATTAATCTTATGTAATGATTTAAAAAATATAAACTATAGCTTTCAGTTATAAAGCTCCATTTTTAAAAAACAATTTTCATCTCTCTCTTGAAATTCCCATGTCTTCACTCATTATACTCATTATTTACATATTTGTTATTGTTATTTTAAAATCTTTGACTACTAATTCTAAAATTTAGGTCATCTGGGTCAATTTAAAAAAATTAAATGTATTGGTCAATATGAACATATAGGTTTCAGGTGTGAGTTTCTATGTTATAAGATCTATTTATTGTACTTTGTGTCCACCATCCAAAGTCAAATCTCCTATGGGTCAATTTCCATTAATATATATATATTTTTTTCCTCTTGACTCTGGATCATATCTTCCTATTTAGTTGCAAATCTCATAATTGTTTATATTGCAACTCAGGCATTGTGAATGATACATTTTAGGTACTATGGATTTTTTTTTAATCTTTCTTTAAATGATGTTGAGTTTTATCCTAGCATGTAATTAAATATTTGCAGATAACCTTGATATTGTCACAGTCTGGTTTTAGGCTTTGTTAAACAGTCCATTTTAGTTTTGTTCTTAATCCTAGACTTGTTTTCTTTCAAAACTTCTATTTATTTTACCCTTATTTTAAAATTTTATCTTGATTGTTGAAAGTTTTATATATGTCTTTTTTTTCTCCATTGGTCTCTTACACCACCTCCCCCCCCCCCCCAAACCACCCCTTTTACCACATTATTGTCTGTATCCATGGGTATTTATTTATTATTCCTAAGATATACGTATAGGCCATTCTGGGATTTCTGTGGAAAGTCTCAAACTTTAAACTTTTTTTCTCCTATATTGAGCATTTACCAAAACTCTGTCAACATTTTTGCTGTTGTTTTCCTCACTCTACTCTAGGGAACCCTGTAGCCATTTTTCATTCTTTTATTTTCACCTCTGAAATTCTGATCTATATGTATAAAAGCCTAAGCAATTGTTCAGTTAACCGGTAGCTATGATGCTCACTGACCACCATGGGGCAGACAGTCAGTGGGCTCTCACAGCCAGCCTCTTGCAGTCAGCCAACCTCCTGCAGTCCCTACCCTTGGTTGGCCAGCTGTAGTTGGCCCAAGGACTGGTAGAGACAGTCCCATCAGTCCCAATCACCAGCCAGGCTGAGGAATCCCACCCATGCATGAATTTGTGCACGGGGCCTCTAGTTAAATATATAATAGACCTTTTTACTTTATCTTCCCTGTTTCTTAATCTTCTGTGTTTTACATCATTTTATCTTTTTAGACACATTCTGGAAAACTTTTTTTCTGCTCAGGCTTTTAATTCACCAATTTCTTTTTTTTATATCCTGTCAACTACCAAGCAAATACATTGAGATTTTAAGTTTGGTTATCTGCTTTTTTATTTCTAGAAGTTCTATTTTTTTAAGAATCTGTAATTTAATTTATAGTATGTAATATAGGTGTTTTCATATTTTTTATTTACTCTTTAATTATTATAAGGATACTTGTTTCATATTGTGCCTGATAATTCCATTATATGTGGTACACATTGGAATTTTTTCTTCTTATTATTATTCATGGTGCCTTATTTCCTTGGCTCCTGATTATCTTTGACTGTATAGTTTTTATTGCCCTTAAATAATTACTTGTGTAGACTTACCAATAGCCTAGGTTGAAGGTGTCTTTTTCCAGATATTATTTTTTGCTTTTACTTTTGCCAAATGTGCGTGCACTGTGAATGGAAAAAAAACACTTTCCCCCCTTCTTTTACTTGCATACTACTGTCACACTCACAACTCCCTGTATCACTTCTGATATAACATGTGAGGGTTTTCTACACCAATCAATTCTCTGTACCATCCAGTTGTCCTGCAATTCAATTTAATTCTGACACTAACTGGAGTTAGTGCAAATCTCACAGTTTAAGGGCTCAGTCCCATAATATTGCACTTCCCCTTTATTTTATTTTATTTTATTTTATTTTATTTTATTTTATTTTATTTATTTTTTAAATATATTTTTTATTGATGTCAGAGAGGAAGGGGGAGGGAGAAAGAGAAACATCAAGGATGAGAGAGAATTATGGGTGGGCTGCCTCCTGCATGTCTCACACTGGGGATGGAGCCCACAACCTGGGCATGTGCCCTGACCAGGAATCGAACTGTGACTTCTTGGTTCATAGGTTGCTGCTCAACCACTGAGCTGCACTAGCCGAGCTGCACTTCCCCTTTAGATGCCAATTGCAAGCCCAGGTTGTCATCTGTGCTTCCAACTGACTGGCTATCCATTAAAAGTTCTCATGGCTCCCTTTTTGGGGTTTGATTAATTTGCTAGAGAGGCTCAGAAAACTCTGGAAAACAGTTTACTTACTAGATTACCAGTTTATTACAAAGCATATTAGAGGATATGAATGAACTGCCAGAATTATAGATAGGTACATAGGGCAAGGTCTGGAAAGGCCCTGAGTGCAGGACCTTCTGTCCTTGTGGAGTTGGCATGTTCTACCTGCCCAACACGTAGATGTATTCAGCCACCTGGAAGCTCTCTAGGATTTGTACTTTAGGGATTTTTATGGAGGTTTCATCATGTAGGCATGATTGTACATTAACTCAATAGCCAGTCCCTATCTCCTTCCCCGAGGATGGGAAAAGGCTGAATGAAAGTTCCAAGCTTTTAATTATGGCTTTGTCTTTCTGGTGACCCATCTCCATCCTGAAGCTGTTTAGAAGCCAACCAAGAGTTGCCTCATCAGAACAAAAGACATATCATCGTGGAAATTCAGAGTTAAGAGCTTTCAGGAACTGGGGTCAAAGATGCAGTGTTAGGATAAAAGGTGATCATAGTGCTCTTATCACCTAGGAAATTATAAAGGTTTTAAGAACTCTGTGCCAGGAATCAGGACAAAGACCACTATATATTTTCTACTTCACACACTATTAATCAGAATCTATTATACTTAAACTTAGTTAAAAGATTATTATTCCCTGACCTACCCAAGTCACATGTTTGCGAATCTATGCAAAGGACCCATTCAATCCAAAATTTCTTTCCAATATTCCCCATGCCCCTTTACTCCCTCCTCTTTCTATTCTCCTTCCTCCCTCCCCCTTCTATTATGCATTATCTAAGAATGCCTGAATGTACTTGGTATTGGGATAGAGAGTAGGTGCAGAGTTGTGAGAGAACTGCCACTTTAAAAAAAATATATTTTATTGATTTTTTACAGAGAGAAAGAAAGAGGGATAGAGAGTTAGAAACATCGACGAGAGAGAATTATCTATCAGCTGCACATCCCCTACTGGGGATATGCCCACAACCAAGGTACATGCCCTTGACCGGAATTGAATCTGGGACCTTTCAGTCCACAGGCTGACGCTCTATCCACTGAGCCAAACTGGTTTCAGGGAGAACTGCTACTTTTAATGGGCTCTGGGCTTGATTTATGTCTCTCCTTGATGCTATTATCAGAAAACTTTGGTAATATCTGCAGTGTTGTATTCTACTTTGTAATGTCTCATTTATCAATTGAATCTAATTGGCTTTTTATATCTGTATATCGTTTTACATTTTTAATTTTTTTTTTTTTTTTTTACTTTTAGAAGCTCTATTTGGTTCTATTTCAAGTCTTCCTACCACTTTATCATCTTTTGTTCCTTATTTATATTTTCAGTATTATCCCTTTCTTTCCATGAGCATAAACATGTTTTATAGTCTGTATTTGATTATTTCAGTATCTGAAGTCTTTGTAGGTTTAAGTTGAATTATGCTTGCTGATATCTGGCAAAGTTTTATTCTTGATGGTTTATTTCTCATGTGTTTTGTGAATTATTTTAAAACTATGGGCTCATTTGTTTCATTTAATTGAAATGTAGGAATTCTCTGAAGTGTGGTAAGTTAAGGTTTTTTCTCAGGGAGTATTTGCATTTGTGTTTTATGTTGTTGAGGCACTAGCACATTGAGATTTTTGTCACTAAAATGAATTCTTCTCTAAACCTATCTGAAAGTCCTTGGTCATGAATTATCTAGAGAGACTTTTTCTCCTTTTCACATAAATCTAAGCCGGAGACTGGCAAGTTTCCTGTTTCTTTGCATATGGTGGCCTTTTCTAATTTTCCTTTTTACTGGGCATAGCACCTTTTTGAGGTTTGTTTCTTTTTTTGTGGATAATCTCCAATATGTTTCCTTGAGTTGCATTGTCCCCAGGTTTCACCTCTTGTCCTTTATGCACAGAGACTTTCAAAACTAAAGTTGGTGGTGGTATGCATTGGCAGATACCTCTGGGTAAGCATATATATATATACCCTCAGGACTTGTGTCTCTGGAGTTGACCTTTTTCTTACTTCTTTAACCTAAGGGTATTTGTCTTATTTTCCTATGACTTTAGCATGCATTGAAAAGACTTTTTAAACCTTCTATCCAACATTCTTAAGAATTTGTCTGGAAAAGGCTCTTCAGATATGGCATCTGCCTCATTGCCCTAATATTTATCAAATGTCATTTTTAATGTTTCTTTTATAGGATTCAGTTTAGCTGCATTTAAAAGAAACAAGAGGAAACTAGAGCTGGCAGAAAGGGTGGAAACAGATTTCATTCAACTAAAGAAGAAAAGACAATCAAATGAAAAGGTCAGGAGGTATTTGAAATATTAATCATTAATCTATCTTAATGATATCTTTAATTTGCTTTTAGATATATAAGCTTTAAAGTAGTATGATCCAGTAAAAATATTATGCATGCCACAAACATCCTTCTAAATTTTCCAATAGTTACATTAAAAAAGTAAAAATAAACAGGTGGAATGAATTTTAATAATTTATTTAAACCAGTGAATCCAAAATATTATTTAAAAATGTAACGAATGAAAAATTATTAGTGAGTTATTAAACTTTTTTTTTCAGTCTTCCAATCCAGTGTGTATTGTACTCTTCTAGCACATATTCATTAGGCACTGAATTTTCATTGTAAATATCTGATCTATACTTGTATTTCATAAGTGAAATACAAATTGAAATACAGAGTTGAAAAAGTATTTTACATAACAAGTTATTCCAAACACACTTAAAATTTTTCCATAATATAACTGAGTATGTTTTAAAATTAAAATTAATTAAAATGTAATAAAATTAAAAATTCAGTATCTCATTTGCCCTGACCACATTTAAGTGTTCAATAGCTATATGTTGCTGATGGCTATTGATTTGGGCCTTGCACGTTTAGATAGTGACTCTTAACTTGGCTGTTTCGGGGGGTAGAGTATGTTATGTTGGGGTCACGTAGGGTTTTTACACATTCTAATTGCAGTTTTCTGTTTCTCATTGTTACACATTCTTTGTTTGCATTTTATGCATTTGTGTACCATCATGAGTCCATGTGTGGCATTTCTTAGGTGTTTGGGGGATGGAAGTTGAAAACCATAATGTTCTTGTTCAGTCTATGGCCGAGGGGTTCATTAGCACATAGTTCATGATGGGTGTCTCACGTCACAGTCATTTGATGTTCTTTGGCATCTTATTAATACTGGTTTGTGCTTTCTGTCATAATTTTATATGGTTTACATATTTATGCATAATAAATCATCTTTCATAGTGGCAGATGTTTTTTCCAGTGTGTTTCCATTTTGGACAATTAATAAAAAATTTTCGTTCAAATCTTTTTAGTTTTTTCTTGCTAGAGAAAAGTAGGAATTTAGGAGGAAAATGAACATTTTATTTTAATAAATAGATCTTGGTGAAAGTGGATGACAGTGTGGTTCTGTTTCTTGTTTTTTTTGCATCCCCTGTGCTGTCTGAGTGAGCAAATTTAGGACTTTTGTTCCTTTAAAAATGTGTAATAAAATTTGCACACAATGAGCAATTTAATCATTTCTAGAAATGTATACTACCATAAAACCCATACACCTATCCAGCTAGTAGAAAATTCTGGTTCTTCTATACTTCCTTTTTATTTATTTATTTTTTAATTTTTAATTTTTTAAAAAATATATGTTTTATTGATATTCCACAGAGAGGAAGAGAGAGGGATAGAGTTAGAAACATTGATGAGAATCATCGATCAGCTACCTCCTGCACACCCCCCACCGGGGATGTGCCCGCAACCAAGGCACATGCCCCTAACCGGAATCGAACCCAGGACCCTTCAGTCCGCAGGCCGGAGCTCCATCCACTGAGCCAAACCGGTTCCGGCAGGTTCTTCTATACTTCTTCTCAGCCAATCATAACTTACCTACTTCTATTCTTGCCTTCCCTTTCAATGCTTTTTTTACACTGAAGCCCAAGAGAACTTTGTAAATGTGGATGAGATAACATTGCATCTCTTCTTTTAACTCCTTCATTGCTACTCATTATAGTGTGTTACAGAGTAGCTTACATGTCAGAGATGGAAGTAAGTTTCAAAGAACAAGTTCCTCAGATCTCTCTGCGGTGTATAACATTTGAGGTGACATCTGAAAAATAAGAAGTGAACGTATGCAGAGTCAGTGGAATAATGTTCCACGCAAAATGAATTACCTGTGCAGTGGCCCTGGTGGGGATTTGGCATGTTAAAGGAATGGGGAAGAGGGTCAGTGTGCCTAAAGCAGGCTAGGCAGGGGAGAGTGGTGAGATGAAGTGGGAGAGGAAGGTAGGTGCTAGCTCTTTTAAAATCCAGTAGATCATGGCAGGTAGATATCAGCTGGGAGATGACAAATTGAACTGTGGGCAATGGGGATGGAGCTGGAAAGAGGTGAACATATCTAAGATATACCTTGAGAGTTCCTGGAAAGACAGGAATTACTGATTCCTTAGATATTGGTAAGGAAAAGAGAGAAATTAAAGCTTGTAGCTTTAGCAGTTGAATGTTGTCATTTACTGGCATGAGGAGAGCTGGAGAAGGTATGGCTTCATGATGATAGAGGTGTGAAGTGGAAGTCAAGAACTTTCTTAGCCCATATCCCCTTAATGGACTTGGAATACCAGTGCTTTCCATTTTTTTACCATAAAATACGTTACCTGATGTCAGCAGTACCCTAAATACCCAAGCTAATAGCCCTTCTTTTAGTGTGCCATTTTCTTTACTCCTACCAATTGAATTATATGCCATCTAGGGCCTCATTATGCTCATTATTTTTATCATTATAATTGCATAACTCATTGCCTCATACACACCAATGATTGTTGAGTTTAAAATAGTTATCTGTTTAAAAACTAAGAGATTTGTTTGTTTGAAAACTAACTTGAAAAAATAGAATTGGTTTATAAAGAAGATGCTATAGAATTAAATATGAGCAAGCCAGTTGTAAAAGGTTGAAAAAAGTCATAAAAATCTATAATAGATTCATTCTGCACTCAGAATGCATGTTAGTGTCCTTATGTCCTTGTTCTATGTTAGATAAAATGAAACTTGAAATCATAGGACAATTCAGTGTGTTGTAGATTATACAAAAAAGATGATATAGAACATTTATCTGTGGGCCCACATTCAAAGAAAATACTTTAGTCTCATATGAAAAGATTGACTGATGAATGAACCTTTGTGTTTTATTTTTTATAGTTTTTACAGAGAGGAGAGAGAGATAGAGAGCTAGAAACATCGATGAGAGAGAATCATCGACCAGCCGCCTCTTGCACCTCTTGCACACCCCCTACTGGGGATGTGCCTGCAACCAATGTACATGCCCCTGACCGGAATCGAACCTGGGACCTTTCAGTCCGCAGACCGATGCTCTACCACTGAGCCAAACCAGTTTAGGCAACCTTTGTGTTTAAAATAAAATAAAATAAAATAAAATAAAATAAAATAAATAATAAAATAAAATAAAATAAATAAAATAAAATAATAAATAAATAAATAAATAAATAAATAAAATAAAATAAAATATTTAAGGAATGTAGGTGTGTTTTTTATTCCTTGCTTCACCCAGAGAATTTTCAACTTTTAAAAACTTCAACCAGTCACTCCACGGAGCTAGAGCCAGCAGGAGGCTCGAGTTGCCCCCAGGTGATGGAGGAAGCCAAGCTTCCTGCCCTGGCCTTTGCTCAAGGCTACAAAGTTTCAATTATAGAAGATAAATTAATCCCAACAAAAATGGCAGCAGCCATAGAGCTGGAGAGAGCAGGAGGCTTGGGTTTCCCCTGGCAATGGAGGAAGATAAGCTTCCCGCCTGCCCTGGCCTGCCCTGGCCTCCACTCAAGGCTACAAAGTTTCAATTAGCTTGGGTCGTCGGGGGTCATAGCTGGCCTGCAAACCACCACAGGCCTCTTACCCAGACCACCCCACGCCCCAAGGGAATGACCACCCTGATCCAGACACCCTTCAGGGTAAACCAGTGGCCCCCACCCGTGCACCAGGACTTTATCCTATCTAATAAAAGAGTAATATTAATATGGAAATTGACCATCACTCCAACACACAAGATGGTTGTTCCTATGTGGACACAAGATGGCCGCCACAAGATGGCCAGCAGGGAAGGGCAGTTGAGAGGGACAAGGCCTGCTAGGGAGGGCAGTTGTGGGTGATCAGGCAAGCAGGAGAGGGTAATTGGGAGGGTGACCAGGCCTGCAGGGGAATGCAGTTAGGGGTGACCAGGCCTGCAGGGGAGAGTCATTAGGGGCAAACAGGCTGACAGGGGAATGGTTAGGCATCAATTGGACTGGCAGGGGAGTGGTTAGAGGGTGATCAGACTGGCAGGCAGAAGCAGTTAGGGGCAATCAAGAAGGCAGGCAGACGAGCAGTTGGGAGTCCACAGTCCTGGATAGTGAGAGGTATGTCTAATTGCCCATTTAGGCCCGATCTTGGGCACTCAGATTGGAGAGGGTGCAGGCTGGGCTGAGGGACACACCCATCCTGTGCATGAATTTCATGCACCGGGCCTCTAGTAGTGAAGATAATAAAACAGGCTCCCAGAAAGAAATGACCACCTAATATAAACCACTTGGGCAAAAAATAGAGATATGGCAGGAAAGGACAAATTGCTGTTTTCTAAATCATCCTGTATTTAGTTTATTTCTCCCTGTCCTGTCTGTGTAGTTTCAGTTTAGTTTTAGTTAGCCAGCATCGACTAAGTCTGGTACTACTGTTTGTTATGACTACGTAAGTTGGGTATGTAAATATAATAAAAAGAATACAGTGTTTTGTAACTTTTCTAATGTTTAAATTTTATTAGTGTTGAAGGAAATAAATACTGTCTTGAAAATATTTACTCAATATTTTAAATTTTAATGCATTTTTATTTCTTTTTCCTTAAAAAATAATTGGATATCATAACCGTAGTAATACAAATAAAAAATAATGCAAGAAAACTATTTAATCAGCTTACTAACCTCAATAAATTAGAGGGCTTTTGTTTTCCTTCCTCTGTGACATTGATATTTTATTTGATTTAGTTTAAAGTTCAGATGGTTAATCTCTTAAATGCTTTTAGCTGCAAACAATAAAAAACCTGACTGGCTTAGAAATGCATATTTGCCCTCCTATTTCCTGGCCCTCTGCCACACACTAGGAAGATTGGTGGTGGTTTGGTTGCTGGCATTAGCTTAGAGTTCCAATTATTCTAGGACCAACATATCTAGGATTCTCTTGGGCCTTTTTCTCATACCTTTTGTTTTATGGACATGATATGGATCCTTAACTTTTAGACGTTGCATTTGTA